CTTTCACTTTTATTGAATAACATTTTCTTCCATTATTAAATATTTTTGAAAAAGAAACAATAGAGTGACTGTTTTCTTTTATTCATGTACTCAATGAATGTAGCAGACTATCAATGTATTTATACTGCGACACACATATTCATTGCGAATGAAATTGTCTGGCACCTGAACGTCCATTCCGTTATCTCTGTCTTCGAAAGGGATGTCGAGCAAAATCACAAACGACGGGAGAAACTTGGAGAGACTTCGCGAAATTGCAAAAATCGCCAGTATTTATCATAGAGACAGAGTGAAATTCGTACGAAACAGGAATCTTTCTCATGTGGTTCATGCTGGCTTGCATATCTTTCAATTCGTAAGTTCACCGTGTCAACATAACCACTTCTTTCATTTTTGTTTTACATTATTTATTCTCGGAAATATGTAACATATAACATTGACAAACTGACACGAGTATTTCTCTCTTGTGAAATATACGTGCGTGTACGTGTTGAAGTTCATCATTAAATTCAGAGATCGCACGCCATTTTGAGAAAGAAAATGTTTCGGCAATTAGAGAACTCGATGACCAGAAGAAAAAAAAAAAAAAAAACTAAATAATCTACGACCTTTTGAAAATTGCTGTGTAGAAAAATTACACAACATTTACAACATACACGACCACATATTTCATTATACGGCATTTGAGAGTAATAATGTCGTACTTACTGGGAGAAATTTATTTTTCAACTCGGAGAAAGTTAATAATTATTTATACAACTTGGTAAGATTTTCTACTCGTAGACGAATTTATTTCCATACAAATGCTAGAATCTTATTTCAACACGGTAGGAACACTGTTTTATCTAGTTCGCGAAAGAGAATTCGTCGCCAAAGAGGCAACGGGGAAAGTGTCACAAAAACTCGGTTAAAACGACACGATCGAAGAATGCAAAAATATTTATGAAACGTAACCGCGTTTATTCCAATAACACAAATATTGGTCGGTGACTCGAGTCGTTCCTTGTCTTCCTCTTTGATTAACGCTCGTGCTCGATCCAATTTCGCTAGCCAATCACGTATTATATCGCACGCTGCGTATTGTTTAAATCGTTGTTTAGAGCGAAGAGTGTCTAGTTGCGAGCAGGAAGTGCGAATCCAAGGCACACGCGCTCAATCGCAACTGTGTGACCTAATTTCACGGTACGCGACTCTTATGTTAGCAAAAAATGTCGCGAGGATGATTCAACGATATATCAACGAGGGCTTTTTATATTGTTATTGTTACGTAATCGAAAGCGAGATCTCGTCACGCGTGAAAAAGCTGCGTGTCAGCGTTCTCGATTTCGTTTCATCTCTTTTCTTTTCCTATTCTTTTCCATGATTGAAAAAATATCAAGGCCCCCCCCCCCGCCCCCATAGACGTTGGAACATGCTGCGATGCATTTCACGAAGCCTGCATCAGAGTCAGCTTGCCTCCACACATCGATTCTCCAGTTTTCCGTGCGATGCCAACGTTGGAACACGTGTATTAAGATGTCGGCTCGTTTTCCAGCTAATGCTAGAAGTCTATTCCTGCATCAGTAGATTCCTTGCTTCTCAATGGTGCTTGCATCGGCATGTTTCGAAGTCTATGGGGCACCTTTAGAGACGTTTCGTTACGTTTGTTTCGAATTTACCGAGTTCACGAGAAACTAGAGTTCAGGAGCAAAGAGATAATGTTGTGTGTACATCAACTAATTTGAATTCCACAGTAGTATTTTGCGTGGACGAAGGAAGAATCTTTGACATTTTCTTCAATGGCGCAAATAGAAATCATCATTTTTACGTTCGAACGAACACTGCCGGATGTTAAAAAGACTGTAGTCAATGATATAATAAATAAAGAAACAACATCTAGTACTGGTAATCGATAGATGAAACAATAATATACTTCATGTAAAGCATAAGCAGAAAATATCATTTATTATATTTCCATTTGATGAATGGAAAACAATATGTTTAAATTATATGTGTTATTTGTGTTTCCCTGTGTCTTCAAGTATGTTTGTAATTATAGGAAATTTGTGTAGATTATCGGGCTCGCAATAATACTTTTCCATCATATCCATCATTACGTGAATAGGCAGTTTCGAAAAGAAGATCAGTCCGCTTCTCACTTGCCCGAAGAAGGAAATCCAATATTTTTAATCTATCTTTTGTGCATGCTTGCAAGCCTAACATTCGCAAATATTTGGATTTTCACGAACGTCTTTATGAAAGATCCGAGAATTGTTAGTAATCCTGCATTGTTTTATTATATTGACTGTAGCAATATTTATAATGCAATAATATTTGAAATTAATAATTGTATGCAAGATATTTAACACGAATACACGCAGGTTCTTATTGGATGTTTCGTGGCTGCTAGCCTAATGTTATTACTCGGGATAATCGAAATGAAGCACGTAGATTGGCATATCGACATTACTTTAATCACTGACGAAGAATTGCTAAGACACCCGATTTTTATTCATAATTTCGTCATGTGTTTGATGTCCATCTTCTGTATGAGCATGTACCTTATACAAGGTTGGATTTTGTTAGATTATTATCTTTGGGTACGTTATCATTAACGAATTTGACCTAGCATTTTAGCAAAACACGAAACGAAAATAAAATGAAAATCATATTTAAAGGCAGTCAATCATATTTACAATGTGTTGATTTCGATAATACATAATAATTGATAATCAAAGTTTCTTTGGTTCCTCAAAAAGCTATTTTTAACTATTTGCAGGTAAAAAAGCAAAGAGAAATTGACGATTCTGAAGTTACTGATTCTGAAACGAGAACTGATACGACAGAAGAACAAGATGAACAAGACAGAAGACGGAAAAAAACAAGAGGACAAGAAGCACCTGGCGAACTGGATCCAATTCCTACATTAGACACATTTTCTTCTTTAAAAGTGTCGCAGACATTAGTAAGTAAATAATAAATTCGTAAAGATCCTTCTATAATCATATTTTACAATATTAACTAACAGAACACAGATAAAATATAAATGATTATTTTCACCTCCAACTCTTTTCATCAAGATTTCATCAAAAGTCTAATGTTTGAAAATTGTTTAATTTTTTTTCTGTTTTAAATGATCTTTGCTGGATGATAATATAACGCATATCTGTGATTTAATTCTTTCGCCATCTATGAAACTAACGTTCGATATTTCCTACTGTTGATAATATTTCCTACTGTTGATAATATTTCTTTATTTGAAATCACAGACATAGACGAAATATCTCGTCTGTGAACATAGTTTCAAGACAAATTTTAAACTGTACAAATCTCTGTTTTAAATAAATATGTAGTTCAATGATAATACAATAACATGATTTTTCTCAGACGAAAAATCACTGTTTTAAATAGATATGTGATAGATTCAAATAGCACAATAACAATTTATTCTTTAGTCCTTGATTTTAATAAAGATAATAAATTATAGATGATGCAGCAATGTAAAGAATTTATTATGATTTCTAGAGTATAGATAAAGAGGATGTTATATTTTATTGCTGCTTTGTTGATTGGTATAATTACTTTAAACAGAAGAGACAAATACAGCAGCCTTCACATGAATTTCAAGTAATTCATGTTATGTAACTTTTATTTGTTAAAATAAATTACTCTATAGCGTGTATAAAATAAAAAATTAATTTAAATAAAAAATTAATTAAAGATATACGTGCCTAATTTTTATGTTATTAATAATAATGATAATTTTACAATATAAATATATAACACAAATCATTGACTAACTAGGATAAACTGAACATACAATGTTTTTTCGTTTCCCATATTTTGGAAGTCACCTGCCATTTTCCTATCACATCCTATTAATAACTGGAGTTAAAAAAAAAAACTCCTTTTGCTGTACGTTTGCACGATGATAAGAAATTTTAAATATTTTGCAATCGTGCATCAAAAAAAAAAAAGGATTTTAATGTAATAGAAGGGGATGAGACAAAGATAGTATGGGTTTCCATACATAGCAACTTCTATGCTGTATAATATAATCATTGTTATCTGTGATACAATTATTAATTACATTATTGTAATGCAATTATAAATTATATAACAAATAGTATGATGTAAGCGATTCCGATTTAGTTTTTATGTAATCAAAAGATTTGTTAAGTTGTTAGGATTGATTTCTAAAATTGTAGATTGAATTTTTTTATGATAACATATAGTGCTTTTTTTAAATATTGTAGAAGATCGTAGACTTTAGTTTTTGATGGATATTTTAAAACACATGATTTGATAAAATGATCAACCTAATTATTATTTTAACCATTAAATACGTATATCCTCAATAAATTACTGTTGACTTTAATATTTGAATTATTAAGAATTACGCAGTTATTTGTAACGGTTAGAATTGAAATTAAATTCTGGCATAAAATTATAAGTAACCTTCAGCATGGTATGTTCTGTTCAAACTTTATATGTCATTATTTCGTTAATTGTTGAAAATTGTGTAACAATTTGGTTAAATCTTACCTTGAATTGAAACCAAAACTGCATGTTATATCTTAAAAATTCACAGCACAAATACAAATCTAGCAACTATTTATACTTTTACTCGAGAACTTTTGAATGATACTTCTTTCTAAATGATTTTTCTGGATAACACTTCCTTCTTTACAGATAAGATGTGCTACTTTCCGCCATGCTTCCCGCTTAAAAATCGATCATCAGAAATATCGATTTCGTTCGAGAATCGTAGGAAGTGTATTATGTGTTTCACTGTGCAGTGGCGCTGTAATCGAATCTAATTCCAATGCGCGCGCGTTTCAAAACTAACTACGGATAAAAAAATAACAATATTTATAGATATATTTATTTGACACGTTCAATCCTTTATATAGAATAACTTTTAATACTTTTCCTGTTGATCGATATATCCAGTAAGATGTATTGTTCTAACTTATTTGAATTCAGGTAGGTTTGGAATGTCTTTGGATTGGATATACTTCTGACAACAAAAGCGCAAGATGTATGCGTATCCTGGATTATTTAGACCTGTTATAATGAAGGTGATCTACAAGATGAGTTATATATTTCGTCTAGCTCTTCAAGAATGACACAGTATGGAATAAGGCACACGTTGGAGGATATTATGTATTTGGATTTAGAAATGATTGGTCGAATTTCAAGAGAATGAAATTTAATGTTTACTTCCATATGATTGTTAATTAACCTGTCAGCTGTATACTTACTGTTCTGATATAAGCAAACTCGACCTTGAGAAACTGTAAATACATCTTATGTTCGACAGGCCGATGAGTTGCCAATTTCAACAACGTATGCTTGAATCAAAGTACCTTCGATGGAATCTAATATAATTACCTGTATGAATGGAATTGTGAGTGCTGAGCAGCTTGAGCGTGTGAGATTTTGGAAGAAACATACGGAATGGAGAAATCCATGATTTAAGGTTAAGTATGTTGAGGTTAAATACTCTTGTAATCAGAAACATTTAAAGAAAAACAATAGTAGTTTAGGGATTGATTAGGAACAGATTTTGCTCCGAGTAAGGCACAAAGAGATACAAAGAAACACAAAAGAACACAAAATATTCATATAAGCACTAGCTGGCACTTTTCGCCTCAACTATCTCATTTACCAATATGTATTAAATGAATTAATAATTAAAAATATTTATTAATACATCTTGAGACGTAAATAGAACATACAACGAAAGTTAAGTTTTAAACGGACGACGCAATTTCAAAATACCACAATTATTCCAATTAAGGTTTTTTTGCAATTAGTGCAAATTGACACATTTTGGACATGGTCGGTAAGAAGAAAGAGGTACTATTTATTTTCAAAAATTTTTATTTGCGCATTTTACGCTTAAATAGAGTATAAAAAGAAAGCTGGGGATCCAATTAACAAGGCAAAATTACAAAAGTTTGCAATTTATTGTCTAAATTAATTTTTTCCGCAAATGAAAATTTCTCCGTTTACGGGATGACAAACACTAGCTCCGCGTTGTGGCGAAATGGAGGAACTAAACGTTATATGTCGTAATAAGGAAAATAATTAATTTTAGTTATTTAAACCAATAATTTACATTTGTTATGTACATATTTCGATGATGATGTTGCCGATTACATTCACAAACAACCACGACTCCAATATTCAATGTAGTTTGCGAGAAATTGCATTCCACTTGCAATGATCTATTAAACAAAATTTAGAAATTTTTATCAATATACTTTGAAAAGTAAATGAAACATAAAA